TGAAGTTTGAATTGACAAAGTTTGATGCTTCTTGCATTCCACCCATATTTTGCGTTGTACATATTTTTAATACTTTTATAATAAATAAGTTTGCAATTTAGTATACTAGATAATAAGTTAATGTTATTTAAATAAGTAGTAAACAATAATGGTCCAAAAATAGAACAAAACTATTTGAAGTAATTTTTTTACTCGGTAACAGTTAACTTGTAAATAAGAATACCGTGCACGCATCAAGAGTCTTGAGAGGTCAGTAAAAACCTCAAGAGTGTATTGGTTGCTTTTAAACCTATTTAAAATTTCCTTAACTAAATTTATTACTCAGTGTTATGTTGTGGGACATTTTTTAAAACAAAGTTATAAAGTTTAAAAAAGTTACAAAGTTATAAATTTTCAAAGCTACGAAGTTATAAATTTTCAAAGTTATAAATTTTCAAAGTTACAAAGTTATAAATTTTCAAAACAAGTTATAAAGTTTATTATGTTCAACTCGCTTTATAAATTTTTGAAAAACATGTGAGTAATGAAATATATAGTTAGAAGATTTAAAGATGTTGAAACTTATGATTATTTTTAATTACTTCATCATAAAAAAATATATTTTAAATATTTTTTGATGAAATAATTTTGCATACTAAATTTTTCCGGACATATACAAAAAAAAAAATTATTAAAACTTTCTGCAATAACTTTTTGATCGATATCTTATTTTCGTCATCAGTGTAGAAATATTTTGGTAAACCATGATCTTTTTTTTCCATTTACTTCCTTTATTATATCCGAAGTTTTTTTTTTTCCATTTATTTCCTTTATTATATCCGAAGTTTTTTTTTTATTATTTCCGCTATTATTTTGTAAAAAATTTGAGTAATATTTTTTTTGGTTTTCAGTTATTCAAGCAGGTTTTTGAAACTTTTATCTATTTTTTCGTTTTAATATATTTTTTTTAATACTTTTTATGAAATTTTTTGTTTTTTAATATAAGATTTAATAAGACCTTTTGAAATCCATGGACTTCGTAAACTTTTGAGCATGGTTTTGATTTCCTTTACCGGAAACGCTTTATCTTACGCATTAATGAATTAGTTTTTAAAAATTTAAAGCGCTTTATTTGCATCTTCAGAATATATTGAGTTGTTTCCAGTTTACTTTAAGTAAATAATTCCTAAAAACGTTAATATTAAATTTATTAATCTGCCTATTTATTTCCGTTAGTACTTGTGTTGCATTTTCTTTTAAAAAAAATCGTATATGAAAAGATTAGAAATAGGTCGCTTATATCGCGTATATCTTTTATACGCTTATATCAGGCTTTTATGATTCCGCTTTGAACGCTTTGTTTTATTTGTTTGTTTTTTTTTTTTTTAACTTTATGTTCTTTAACAATTTAATAAAAAAAATTAATAACATAACATAATAAAAAAGCTCTCCGTTATTAAATCTAATATACAAAAAAAAAAAGTAATAACTTTACATAATCGTTATTAAGAAATAAAAGTACGCTTGTTCTCGTAAAAGAACGTGCGCACTTTTATTCGTTGTTAAAATTGTTAACAATCTTGTGAATGATTTTAACAACGACCTAAGGTCTTGTTAAAAATTTATCTAAAATAAATAATAATTCATAATATAAACTTACAACTTCAAATTTTCATATGAAATAAAAAAACTCAAGCTATTATAAATAAAATAACAAACAATTTAGAATTAAAAAAATAAGTAAGATTTTAAATATATAAATAAATAAAAAGATTCCGTTTTATGTATAAAGATGCGTTATACGGTTTTAAAATAACCAAAAGTGATTAGTAAAAATTAAAAAATTGTTAAATTTACAAATTTTATCAAATTTGCAAATATCAAATTTATTAATTATTTATAAGTTTTATAAATGCAGTATTTACAAGTTTTATTAATGCAGTATATAATGCACTATAGAGAAAAATTTAAAAAGAAACTAAAAGAAGATAAATCAATTAATTAAAAAAAAAAATGAAATATGAAGATAATGTATGAGTAAAGCTAATTTTTTAAAAATTTTTCAAAGCTCTTAGAAATGAAAAACAAGAATCACCATCTTTACACAATGTTCTACAACTTGCGTGTTAAACGGCCGTTGTACAATTGTTAGAGCGCTTGCTTTATAAGCATGAGATCCAAGTTCGAAACGAGATCCAGGTTCGAAACTTTTGACATATTTTGTGTCACCGCAAGGAAGAAGGCGTGAACTTCCTGGTTAAAAGCACTTTCGCGGTGCTCTGTGACAAGACCGTATTCTTGGGGCACCTTAATTAATTAAATTAAAAAAAAAAAACTTGCGTGTTAAATAGTTACTTATCTAAAAGATTAGTTAGTTGAATTTGATTCTCTTTTGCTTCTTTCAGTTCCTCATCAGTGAGTTGCATTGTTAGTGGTGGCTCTGTCTGCTATGTATTACTTTAATCAATCAACTTCCTTGTATTCTTTGCTATAAAATTGAAAGTCGAAACTTTGAATTGCCGCACACTAGTTTGATTATCATTCATACTTCCTTCTTCTCTAGCTCTCTGTATACGCCTAACATCTAGTTCTCAGGTTTGTCGCAGCTCATCTGATATTATTGCCAGAAGAATATTTTCTTGATGACCAAAGAATGCATTTATTTGAATAACTTTGTCTATTACCTTAAGTAATGCATCTGGCAGATACCGTGATTTGACTATTGTGCTGCATAGAGCCTGCTGCCATGAAAAATAGAAGACTCCTTCTTGATGATAAACTACATACGAGCATAAAAGCACAATGTGTATGTTGCTAAAGTTATTAAATTTGATGAAGGATTGGTTGTAGAAATATATAATCCGAAGATTCTGTTGGCAGCAGTGAGCCATTTAGAATAAGCCAGTTTTTCAGGGCTGCGCTTTTCCAGATTGACAGAACAAGTACCACTAAGAACAGCTTGGCAGATGTCAAAAAGGTAAAGCTGATCTGTACTGAGCACTTTTCTGTCTACCTCTGGCATTTATACATTATGATTTATAGTTTAAAAATCAATAACCTTTCAGATCTCAAAAGTTTCTAGAGACTTTCCAATAGAACCTGAATAGTATCTAGGACCAGATGTTGGTTCATCCAATTCTGAAAACAAATGACGTAGTGGAAGCTCATTTGCATGTAACAAACAAATTATCCATTGTAGAGGCCGTTGGAGTTCTAACTCAATCAATCTAATCACACCACCTTTGTTTCCAGTGTTTACATTTGTTCCATCGCAGCCAAACATTTGTAAATCATCCAAAATGATATTGTTTTTTTTTTATTGTTCAATTATAAATAATATTATTATTTACAAACAAAATATTCTTACTAACATTTAAAAATATGGTTTGTATTGAAACTTTGAGTTTTTATGCCTAATATTCAATTTTTTTAATTGAAATCTTTCTTTTCAATATGAAATCTTTCTTTTCATTTTTTCTTTTTTTCAATTTTTCATTCTTTCAATTTTTTCAATTGAAATCTTTCTTTTCAATATGTTTTGAAAAATTTCAATAACTTTTTTAATACAAAAATTATTTTGGTCATAATACTAGTAGATAATTCAAACTTACCTAATATCTCAAAAATCAACTTTCACTTTGTTTTTTAAAAAGATAATTTTTAATGTAAAACTTGCCTTTTAAAATTTTAAGAGTCAAAAATTGGTGCAGGGGGTAATTCTTGTCCAATTTTGCTCATTTTTTTTGGTTTTCTTATAGCTAATATAAAAATCATGGAGGAAAGTTGTATTTCTGAAAAATGTTATTTTCACTCAACCTTATTATTCAAGCACTAATTTAAATATGTTTGGAATGATATTTTTTCCTGTATGGTAAAGCAGTAATAAAGCATTTTTAAAATAGCTTTTAATACTTTAATAATTCAGTAGTTGATAATTTTCCAGAAATTTAATTTCTCTTAAAAAGAAATTTAATTTCTCTTTATATTTTTTTTATTTAGTCTTATGATTTCTTTTTTAAATATTATCTATACGTGCATTAAGTATGTTCAAGATATCACGAAGTAAGTCTATGAATACCTCTACTTACTCTTTAAATAACATTTGTATTTTTTTGTGCTAAATAAACATTTCCTTTATTTCTAACAAGGTAAATACCAATTTTTAACACAAAGCTAAACAAACATTAGAAAATCTCAAAAATATGTCTGATCCATTAAAATTTATTCTTTGCTACAAGAGTTACAAGTCATATTTCCGAAATGGAAACTGTAACGTGCAGAAAATAATAGCTTAAGATAAAACAATTCATTCATCTCGAATTGTTTCTAATAAAATAGAAGGGTTAACGAGCAAACAGCAAATAAGATAAATAAGCATAAACGAGGCAATATACGTGTCTCAGGATATAAGTGAAATCATAGTAATAAACAAAATATTTAAAAATAAACTTTCTATTTTAAAGCGAATTTAGAAAAAAACCGTGCGAGCAAAAAACACAAAACATATTTATATACTTAAAATTTAATATGTACATACATAAAATACTGTAAAATAATATATATATATATATATATATATATATATATATATATATATATATATATATATATATATATATATATATATATATATATATATATATATATATATATATATAGACGCACACACTACACGTTAAAAGATTGAGACCCTTAAAGAAAAATAAAATAATTTATTACACATAAAAAAATACACCTACACACAAACACACACATATATATGTATATATACACACACATATAATAAGTTATCTATATATGATATAATTGCAAAAATTAAAGTAGTTATATAATTCCAATTATCTCATGAACGGTCTCAAACTTTTGACCTGAAGTGTATATATATATATATATATATATATATATATATATATATATATATATATATATATATATATATATATATATATATATATATATATATATATATATATATATATATATATATATATATATATATCACATATAGAATATAAGATATAGAATATCACATAAGAAAATATTACAAAATGTAAAAAAGTTAACAATTTACAAAACTCTCGTAAAAAAATAGCTGAAAAAACGCTGTTCGGCATTGCGAAAGATTAAAAGCATTAAAAATATATATTGACATGTAAAAAAGATAAATTATAAAAATAAATAAAAGATATTTGTGTTCCAAAATTGTTTCTATTTGTCCTTTATTTCTATGCATCGTAGTTGCACATCGGCATCAATAGTTATCTTTTAATCATTGTAACGAGAACTTCGTTACCGCCACTTGAATGAGCATCAAACATATCACTTATTCTTTTTTATTTATACTTTAAAGGCACCAAAACTAGTTGCTGATTCATCATAATCTACAAAACCAAGGTGCTCTTCTGAAACACCAATGGCTATAATATCGTCTTTCATAAGTCTAAACAATCCACTTGCATAAGTGGTATAAAAGCCCTGATCATTTTGAATATGTACTGCTTTAGTAGCATACCCCCGTAAAATGACAAATTTACTGTTTTTACGAAATAAGTAAACATAATGAGTTAGCACTGGATCCATTTTCTTGTCGTCTGCTTGGAAAAATACTTGAGAGTAGACATAGTAAAATCCATGTTCTGGGACAGACAACCTTCCGTTATTTATAGAAAAATTACCAGCGAGTAAGCCAAAACTAGTGTCGCTTGTTCTTCCTAATGTTCTTAGAATGCCTTAAAAATAAATATTTTTTTTACTTACTATGACAATGATGATAATGATGATGATGATGATGATGATGATATATATATATATATATATATATATATATATATATATATATATATATATATATATATATATATATATATATACATATATAAATATAAATTTATAATTTATATATATAATATATATATATATAATTTATAAATTTATAATTTATACAAGAATATAATTTATATATATTATATATATAAATTTATAAAGTTTATAATTGCTCTGTTCTTTTAAGAACATTTAGCACTCTATTTTGTAGAATACATTTTAAAATTGTTTATATATATATATATATATATATATATATATATATATATATATATATATATATATATATATATATATATATATATATATATATATATATATATATATATAAATATATATTTAAACGACTTTTTTTACCATAAAAGTATTACAATTTGTATTGAATTCTCTACTTTGCAACATTTTGCATTTAACTTCACTAAATATATCTCATGAAACATATAATCCATTAGAGTTAGCATCTACTAAGCACCCCTCTCTTGAATGTGTATGTATTTTCTCACTTCTGATTCCACTCTATAGCCTATATAAATTTCTAATTTGCCCTCGGATGGATTAGAGAAATGTGGAAAAGCAGGAATCGGTAGATGTAGGACATATCAAAATTTTTAATTAGGAGAGGTCCCTAATTAATGTTTCCTAATGTAAGCAATAAGATTTTCAAAAGATCTTATAATACATCTTCAAATCAACAAATCTTATAATACATTTTGTAGTTCTATAGGACACTATATGTAGGATGAACCTATAGAACACCATTTATAGGATGATGTAGGTTCAGTTTTTTAGTTTCTATAAATGCTATGAAATTTCGAAAATCTATATTTTATTCAAAGATATCCTGTAAATCTAAATCATAAAGGAATGACCTTCAGAATCAGAGGTTAACTACTTTCTGCAATCTTTCTTTATCAGATGACTCTTTGTACTAGCCAAAAGAAGACTACAAAGAGATAATCAAGTTGTACCTTTTAGTTTTGGATTTTCCACTCTCAGACAATGCCACCAAACAGTATTACTTTTACCTGCTGAAAGCTTATAACATGGCTAGGTGGATTGTTAAATTCATCTTTTGTCTGAGATTTACTTATTGAGAAATAAATTCAAGTTATTATGAAAGAACAGAAAAACTTGTACAAATTTTGTATCTTTGCTACTTATGTCTATGTATCAGCACGGATTGCCTGTTCAATGACAAGTGATGTTTTAGCAAATGATCTTATGCTTTTCTCAAAAATTAAACAATACTCTAAAATTAACAAGGTCATTTCAAATGCTGCAATAAAGAATTTTTAAAATCATACTTGTTTACCTTGGGTCAGAAATGATTCCAATTTCATTATCTTCTAGCAGGGTTGGTGACAAAAAAAAAGTTGATTATCAAAGCTAAGAGTCAAACTTTGAATAATAGCTTTGATAGTTAACATTTTTTGTGTTTAAAATCAAAAAAAGTATAAAAAATTTAATAGAATTTTTTGTTCCATATGCTATAAATAATATATTAGAACTATCAACTAATTCCTATTCGAATCTTGTATATGCAGGAGGAATCAGAATCAGAATCTTGTAACTCAACAACAAAAAAACAACAACCTATATATATATATATATATATATATATATATATATATATATATATATATATATATATATATATATATATATATATATATATATACATATATATACATATATATATATACCCTATATACCCTGTAGTCTTCTTTGTAACTCCTTACACAGCGTGTCTGGTTTTGTCTGATGCATGAAGTGCCTTTATGCACAAACACACTACTAAACATACACATATAAGAGCTGTGACATTGAGTTTTTAATCTTAGATGGTACAAGACTGCATTAAAAATTATAAGTAGCTTATTAGGTAAAAATGAAGAGAAAGACTTTTAGCCTATTTTCCTTACTAATTAATATCATGATAATAATTTTGCTATGTTATTATTTAATTATGTTATTTATGCTGTTGTACAAATGTAATATTTCAATTTTTTCTTGAGCTGATGTTTCCATAAAACATGTGTTCTTGGAACTCAGAAAATATCTTCTTTATATGGCCAAGTAAAAATGGTGGGAAATTAATTATTTCATGAACTCGATAAAAATATCTTAATTTTCTTCAGATATTTCCAAATATTGCCTATAAAACATTTTGCATCATAAACACACGCTGTAATAATTCCTGGTGAAAGAAAAGCCTATGCTGCTTTCTAGAAACATTAATGTGAGTATGCATATTGTCAAATGACACTCATCTATAAAGTAGTTAATAATTGTGGTATAATACAATGGTGGTTTCTTGTTCCTGAAATTGTTGAACAAGTAGCATGTTCTTCTAGTTTAAACATTATGCAATTTAACACAATTGCATCCTTTGAAATATGTTGAAAATGTATTTCTTTGATATTTTGTCTACACCAATCATACATTTTCTTAACTGAATTGATAGGATCTACTAGTGATTGTAAACTGGCCCTTGTTACAAGACTTTTGACAGTTCATTAATGCCATCACAAGCACTCTTTCCATGTGATGTAGTAAATAAATGCAATTCTGCAGATACCTTCTTGTTCATGGTGACATAATTAGATGTCTTTATAATTTTTGTATTGTGAACCTGCACCATCATAAAAAAAAAATGCAATGGTCAAAGTAAGGCATCAACTCTTGTAAATGTTTTATTACTTCATAAATGAAAGAAGGAACTGAGTTAGTATTGTGTTACAAACTATCTGAGATGATACAAACACTTTTACATTTTATCTTATACTATGTTGCTTGACTGTTGTTCCAATGGAAACTTTGTACTGCATCTTGAATTAAAAAACTGAAAATTTTAGCTAAATATTAAAAGATGATTACTTGGTAATGGTATTTTTAGATACTGCAAATATGCTGCTTGATTTTTTACTACTCTGTGTAGTTAAGGCAATTTTAAAATATTACAGCCTCTTTATGATATTTTGTTGACTATGACATATTTCTGTTAAATGATCAGGTCTGTAAAAAGACAAAAAATCTACTTAAAATCACAACTCACTAAAAAGGTTTTGAAAATTATATATAAAAAAGAAAAGTTTCTTTAAATGATAAAAAAAACCTGAAGCAAAAAAAATTATATCATTTAAAACTTTTGTTTCCACAAATACCCTAATAAAACCATGCTAAATCCAAATAAAAAAATTCCAATATTTCGTAAATCGCCTTAACTACACCAAGTATGTCGTGATGGTCTCTTAATTAGTCTTAGCTGACAAGTTTTTTTAATAAAATCATCCACTGGAAGAGATATTGGAACTACATCATGTTTTTTTTGGCTTGCTGCCACTGATTAAAGGTGATTTCTTACATGCTCTGTTTATCAAACTCCATTATTAAATTCAAAGTTTCCACGAGTTTTGGTACAATAAATAAGAAATAACAAATTTTATGTATAAAGATGTAAAAAGAACACTCAATAACTTGTTATTTATGTCACAACTTTTAAATATTTAGTAGTGTGTTTGTGGCACTTCATGCATCAGACATAAAACCAGACACAGTGTAAGGAGTTTAATTACAATTTTTTCAAGGTTCTAGAAAATGTGCATATTAAAAAATGGATGGGGGAGAGGAGGGAGGGAAGGGGGGAGGGGCTAGGCCTATTTGAAAACTGAGCTTAATTCATGCTTAGTTCAATACTTATTTCTAGTACTGATTATAAAATACTTTTACGTATATACATACTACATACAACTCTATTTTTATTATTTTTAATGCATTTTGTGCAAATTTCAGTGTTCTGATTTTGTAACTATCCTATTAGTACCGACTATTTCTTTTCTTCCTGAAATCGCTGTAATAAAGTCTATTAAATCAGTAGAAAAACAAATCTTATTAAAATCAGTGTTGATCCTAGGATACTGTTGGTTTGAAGTGAAGCCACAATTTCTTAAGTTTTACACAGAGCCATTTTTAGTTTTTCAAGTTTTAGCCGGAGTCCATAATTTTTTTACTGAATTGTAACTTATCAGTAAATTTCTAAAAATTCTAAAAAAAAAGTCTATCATTTATAGAAACTAAAAAAATGTCTTTTCACTTCTTAAATTACAGATTTTGTTTATTGACCCATCTAAAATCAGCTTTTTATATTTGCAAATAATTTTTTAGGTTTTCTAAAAGCCATTATAGATAAAATGTGCATTTGAAAATTAAATATCAAAGTTTTATTAAAGTAAGTCTAAAGTTGTATACAATAAAAATCAAGAAGGATTTCTGAAATTTTGTTTGAGCGTCAAAGTATGAACAAAATATGTTTTTGCTACTTAATTTTTTATTTTTGGAAACATTAGAAATTTCAAATGACCACATCTCATGAAACACAAAAGATTTTATGCTGAAATTTTCAAATTGAATTGCTATCACATTGATATAGAGCAGCCCACCAAGTTTCATCAAAATCCATGTGAAATCCTAAAATTTTGGTCCATTTGGCATGGAATGACCCATATATACACAGCGCGCACACACACAAACACATATACACACAGGTACATGCTGCCATTATTTTTAGTTTATTACCTAAAAACTCAATGCAAAATAGCATATGCTATTTTGAATTGAGTTAGCAAATAATTGCAATTTCACTCAATCCATGCCAACAATTATAATGGGTAATTTCAGAATAAATATAATATTAAATAGAAATGTACATACTTACACAAAGCATGTGACAAACACTGTAGATACTCGGAACAGAAAATGAGACAGCCAAGTTTAAATTAATTTTGGCAAGTATAAAAAATTACTTTAAATACAACTTATGCAAGAAGTTTCAAAAAACTTATATTTATCATTATGTTTCAAGTTATGTTACCCTAAGATTGTATTATTTTGTATGTAATTATTTATTTACATTTTAAATGTTTTTTTCTTTCATATTTAAAAATTAAACTAAAGAAAAGTTATTCTTGTTTGAATAAAAAACAACTCATATGAACAAGGAGAAATAAATATTACGCCTCCTTCAAAATAAGTTAATAATACTGATAAAAAACAATAATATTTAATAACATAATTAAATGTTACAGGCCTGCAGTGCTTTTTTTTTCATAGACTGATTGAAACACTGTAAAGAAACTGAGGTGAGTAAACATGCTGTATTATATATGCGTTATTTACGTAATAAAACATACAAAACCTTAAAATTACATAACGAGAGTAACAAATTAAAAAAAAAAATTGATTTCATAAATTTAGAATGCAATTAGTAAACAACTAAGTCTTTAAACATTGTTTTAGTACCTCTTGGTTCAGAATTTAATTGAGCTCCTACTTGATGTCCAGTTATATGAGCAACAGGACGGTTATTTATCTAAACGTTATTTATATCCTAACATTAAACAATAACAAAAAACTTGAACGAATTTTTTAAAAATTAACTTTTAAAACTTTTTAAATAGTAATCTTTAAACTTACAGACATAACTGGTCCAGGTAAACCTGGAGGTCCAGGACTTCCAACTGGTCCTAAATCACCAGGTGGTCCAGGTTTACCTAAAATACGAAAATTTTCCCCCTATAATTAATTGTAATATGACAATCAAGATGCACTTTATAAGTTTTAAAAAAAAACTTAAAAAAAAAAAAAAAAAGAAAAAAAAAAGTAACAGGTTTTCATACCTGGATTTCCTTTTAATCCTCTTGCACCAGGTTGCCCATCTTTACCAGGTGGACCAGGTTCTCCTATAAAATTGTAGGCCATACAATACTTTAATAATAACAACAGTTTTTAATTGCTGTTGGATAAATCAAGTTACAAATTTAAAATTATTTTGATCTTTAAACCTTAGAGAGCTTGACTTACAATTAGATATTGAAAATATTTCTCTATGAAGAATTTTAATTTTGTTCCCCACCTCCTTTCTATGAACTATTTTTTTTCCTATAGTATTTCTAGTATTTCTATAGTATTTCTATTTCTATGAAGCAACAAAGTTATTTTTCTAATATTATCATCTTTAATAATTAAACAATTATTCAAGGGTTTTACTAAAAGAGAAAAACTTTTCTACTAAAACTTTTTTTTCCTTTTTCTCTTCTAACTCAGATAAAAAAAAATCTTGAAAAAAATAAAAAATTTAAATGCATAAATAAACATAAAATGCATTTATGTTTTTTATTTCAATTCAACTCCCTAAAGCCGAGAAGGACACTACAGTTGAGGAAACTACTGTAAACACATTTACTACTAAGAATGATATGATTATTCTCAAGACCTCAGCGTACTAGACTTCAGCGCCAAGAATAAATTTTAAACAGCATTTTTACAATATTATAAATTTATATTACGGTTGTCCTTTCCTCTTCCCTATTGAATCAAATCCAAGGGTTTAATATTATAAAAAAGTCAAACAAAATGTTAATATTTCCTAACTTTTTAAGCAAAATGTTTATATAGTTAAATGGCTTTTCACTTTGCATTCATAAGAAAACCAAAATGGTGACAACAAACTAAACACTTTAAATTGAACTAACAACTTCAAAATGATCAGATGGAGTACATAATTAAAATTATCCTTGTAATGAGCTTTGTCTGCATTATTCTAAGTAGTAAGCATATACATCATACAATAATATCAGCATTAAAATAAATAGTTAACAAAAAAATTTTTCTAAATATTTTACATATTTTATATATTATAATTAAATATTGTAAATATTCTAAACATTCTACAAAAATTTTTGAGCCCTAAAGGACTCTGGTTTGGAAAGTCACAAAATCATTATTTATTCTTGATCTTTGGCCTTTAAATGCTACCATAATGTTTATATTCTTTAGAAATACTATAGGAATAAAAATCATGGCATTTATAGCGCAGGAAATTCTCAATATTGAATCCAGAGTTCTTATGTAAAAAGGGCAAGGGACTCCAAAAATTCAGATTAAAAAAATACTATTTTCTGAAACTTTAAATCCTATATATATATTTTTAGTAACCTTTAACAAAAAGACGAAGAAAAGCACCTAAACTAACCTCAAAACTTTATACAATATTCTGTTGAAGTAAACAAAATAGAAGACTTTTAGATAAAAATTAAAACTTGCGCATTGCCAAACAAAAACATAACTTAAAAGATACCTTTTAAAAGTTATTATTATTTTTTTTCTATTTTAATTCACCTCCCCAAGGCCCATAAAGGCCATTACAGTTAAGAAGGCTACTTTTAGTTGTGTTTACAACCCTCTTTCAACTCTATAACTCTGAAACACGAACCTCTATGAATAAAGCTACTGTGTGGAGAAACAAATTGAGTGCGGTACTACTAGAGACGTGTTGGGGATTGAACTCGGAACTTCTCGCTTAGGAGGCCAGCGCTCTATCACTATACCACTACTGCATATTGTGGTATTGTTAAAACATGGTTAACTTTATGCCAGTTTAAAAATTAAATTACACTAAACAATAAAGTTGATTGACCAGCCATTATGATTAGTTTTAATTTGGTAGAATTGGAATGAACAAAACTTAGCTATATAACTACTGGCTATGGCTTAATGATATAAATAAAAATTTCTCTAAATTTTGTCACTGAAAGTTCATTGTGTTAAAAAACAAGAAAGAAACTTAGTATTATGCAATCTCTGTAACATTAATGATTTATATGAAAAAAATCTACATAATATTCATAAATAACTTAACGAAGAATTTTAACTTGATATGGTTACAAAAAAATTTATGTAAAAGAAATTAGGATTTTAAAATAAAAAAATTATTTAGTTTCACAATTGTTTCCTACATTAGCAAAGTTACAACAAACCTAAATAAGTAGAATTTTAAAAACTCTAGTAACATTAACATAGCAGAATTGTTATTTTAAATTGATTAGTAGAGAAGAGAAGCTGAAAATAGTTAATTAGCAAGAGTTAAATAGAATTACTCTTACAAAACACACTCTTCAGTTAGGGATATTATTTGTCAAATAATTAAAGATGCCCATTTGTAAATTGTCATAACAGAGAAGACATTATAGTTTACAGAAAAATATTTATAGATTATTTTGTCAACAACATTAAAAAACTATTGAAAACAGTTTCTGGGTAAAATTAAAGTATTCCTTACAAACTGAAAGAAAAATTATGACTCACAATTAAAATACGATGCATTCAAATGATATTCAATTGTTTAATGGTTTCATGCTTTTTTTAGTCTAATGCTTTATAAAAAAGGATGAGAAATCAGTTATATGTTGGAAGGGGAAGAAGAGGAATCAGTTAAATGTTGAGCTACTATACAGTCACACAAAATTAATTGACCAATAAATATATAAATAAAATATATAAATACAACATATTTTTATGCCATATCTTTATTGTATATAAATATATACAATAAAGTTATAGCGTAAAAATGAAGTCACTCATATTTCAGATTGACATTCTTGTCAAGATTTTCATTATATTTTTATAACAAAAGATATAATTAAAAATTATTTTGATTGTTTTATTAATTTATTAATAAAACCTTTCCTTATTCCAAAAATGTATTAACAAATTCAGGAAAGACCAAAAGCTTTTACTAAATGGGTTGTGTTACATGTATCATTAACAGTTACATTAACAATTACATTAACATTAGATGTTTTATTAACAATTACATGATTTTTTTATTAATATTAAAATAACATGTTTTTTTATCATCATTTAGATTACATGTTTAATTGACAATTTCAGGAACGACCAAAAGCTTTTTACTAAATGGATTGGGTTACATGTTTCATCAACAGTATTAATATTATTAAATATGTGTAACAAAAACATGTTTTACAACCATGAAAATTTAAATTTAAGCATTCCAAAAAAAATCAATTAACTTATCAATACAAAGTCATTTGATTAGGCAACTATTTAACATTAGTAACAAGATTTAACATTAGTAACAAGATTTTATAAAGAACATAATAAATAAAATTAGATGATTAATAATTAAGATTAGTACCTCGTTTCCCATGTTTTCCAGTTATAGCTATAAAAGGAGAGATTAGTAGTTAGTTGATTTAGTATAAAATGTAAAATACATAAAATTTAAAGAACAACTTTTTCAACAAAATTATTCTTTGAGTAAATAACAAGAAAAATTCATTTTACTACTTTGCTTAATATATCATTTTAAACAGGTTGCTCAAACAAAAAAATATATGTGTTATTATTAAAAAAAAAATTTATTGGAGCAAAAAAAATCAAATTTGATGATCCACTTTAGTGCACCTAAAAACATTTAAAACAACAAATAACAAGAAGTTAGCCAAGCTTTTAACTTTAATAAATAAAACAAAATCAAAGCAAAACAAAAAAACTAAGAGAAAATAGAAATCACATGAGCTTTAATGAAATAGCATTATGGAAACCCAACCAAACCAAGTGTGGAACCGTAGATGTAAAACATTAAAAATAAAAAAAAGAGCATCTATATTTTCTACTCCTGTGAAAAACAAAGTATATCTAAGGATATTAAACTAATTGGGAAAAAATACAGTAAAATCAGTAGAACCAGTAGTTAGGAGAACTAAATTTAATAACTACAAATAACAATGACATTTTGAGTTTAACATCTTTTTGATTTATACTTTTATCTCCTGCACATTTATTTTCCATTTAGCATCAATATAGTTTTTCTTTGAATTAATCAAAATAATCATTTGCAAAATAATCAAGTACGAAATAAAAAATTACTTATTATGATCTTATAAATAACAGGGATCAAAAACAATATATATATATATATATATATATATATATATATATATATATATATATATATATATATATTAGGGGCTATTCTAGACCGTTTTTGACAACCGTATTTGGGCGCTGCCTAAATTAAAATTTGAGGACCTTTTTTTTTTTTTTTACGTTTTTTTTACATTTTTATGTCAAATTTTTTTTTTTTCACGAAAAATTTACCGCTAAAGTCCACCAAAACGAGGGTGACCGCCGCCCAAATTTTTTCCTAGAATAGGCCCTGTATATGTATATGTATGTATGTATGTATATATATATATATATATATATACATACATACATATATATATATATATATATATATATATATATATATATATATATATATATATATATATGTATATATATATATATATATATATATATATATATATATATATATATATATATATATATATATATATATATATATATATGTATATATATATGTATATATATATATATATATATATATATATATATATATATATATATAAAATAAAAAATAATTTTTACATATATAACTTATTTTCTCAAAACTTATTTAATTTATTTAACTTAAACAATAACATTAAAAAAAATAAGATCTAGATGTTTCTACAAAAATATTTTTTTTTTGATAAACTAAGTTTTAGCACTTTTAAGTTTATAACCATTTTATATATCAAGCAATATATGCTATAATTTTACCATTTTATATATCAAGCAATATATGCTATAATTTTTTGGGAAAAAAATCAAACCTTTTCCCGGTGGACCAACTGGACCAGGAGCACCTAACATTGAAAAAATAGCATTTGTTACAAATTTAATTTTTATTATTAACTAATTAAAGTTTTTAATTAATATTACTATAATCTGGATTGAGGAGATATTCAAAATAATAACATTTGTATTATATTATGAACATATAAAGAAGAAGAATAAAGATCAAATAAATATAATCTTGTCATAGACATTTACATCAATCTATAAAAGTTTGTATCAACTATAATAAACTATAAAAGTTTATATCAACTATAATAAAGTTAACATTACATTGAAAAAATTTTAAGCAATGATTTATATAAATCATAAAAAAAAAAAAAAAAAATTGTAAAATTAAAACCTTGAAAATGTAACAACCATTATATATGATATAAAAATCATTATTTCAAACTTAAATAATACATAGCATATAACAAATATAACATAGCATTAATTACTAAAACTTACCTATGCATGTGCAGTTTGTGCTATTGAGTATTACTCTCGTGGCTTCATGTGATTGAGATGGTTTCTTAACAAAAGTAATACAACAAAAGTAATAGAAATATCTAAAATTATCAGCTGAAAAAGTGAAAACAGTTTTTTTACAGGCCTGTCATAAACTTTTTATAAACAATATTGCAGAAAGCAATTTGAATTTCTTTTTATAATGACAACTGCAAATTTTTATAGATTAAAATCATATTTATATTTTGCAGACTTATATTGCTATTAACAAAACCAAAAAAAAAAATTTATGAATCTTTTGCAGAAAAAAATGTTTTTAAATATGTATAGTAAAATACATTTTACATAAAAAAAAAAATAAACTTTTATAAGAAAATTGATAATGAGAAAAAAAAGTTTGATTAAAGGTTAAGTTATGAATTAACTAAGTAAATTAAACTTATCTTTAGTAAACTTTTTAAATTTAATTTATATATTTTTAATTTCATATTCCCTTTTTTTGCTGATGAGCTTAACTTATTCTAATAAATCAAAAGGTGATTAAAAATTTAAATCAAACTTCAAAGGAAATATTATTTATATTAATATACATTAATATATAGGAGCATTTCTAAGAAAATAATTTGGGCAAAATGAGGCTTAGCTGCAATTTATTTTATATAATTAACTATTTTTATTAAAATTAATAACTTTTGCTCTAAAATCTTTTTTTCATAATATTCAGAATTAAAAAGGCCCCTTCAAAACATTTTGTGTGTGTGTGTGTATATATATATATATACACACACACACACACACACATTTTTATTGCTCCTATTAAAAGAACAACACTGATAGACTATTTATATCTTATTAAAATATACAAATACTGTTGGCATAGAACTCTTTAAGATTTGAGGTTATGCTGGGGTGCCGCCTTGTTGTTGAATCCATCATCTGTTGCTTAGTAATCAGAAAAAATAATAATCTGTTGGGACTATATAAGGTAGCCCTCGGAATTTGGGTCGGCATTTGGCAATGCTGACCTAAAAGTGTTTGAGGTTGGCAAAAAATCGCCCACCTTATTTCTGTGTTTTATGGTAACCCCTTTGTATCAAATTTTTTTTTTATCTGAGCATTTTATCAAGAGCTCCAATTTAAGCTTTTAAGTGAGTACAGTAGATTAATGTTCCAATTGTGGTTATTTGCAGAATCAGTTCTTATTACACTGCACACAGCCCCACTAAATCAAGAGCAACACCATTTTAGGGTGAAGGTTAACTTTGATAGTTAGTTTTTGAAAATGTTCTGGTGCTAGCTGCTGGTGCGACCTGGTATAGTGTACATAAAATAACTTCTTATCTCTTTTAATGACATGGTCAGTTAAATGTATGATTAGCAATCAGTTTATGTGGTATATCAACTCTGACCTTAGAGGTCTTTCCATTTAATGCAGGAGGTATTCTATAACTCTATGAATGTGACTAGGTTGCTATGCTGGATCTAGGTCAGTTGATTAAGTCTTAAAAATTAAATCTCCAATACATAAGCAGTGCAACAAAGTCTTTGCTGTCACCACTGACAACCTTGGCATATCCAATTGTATATATTCAGTGTGGCTATGGCTACAGAGTGGTCAGACTCATAAAGCAGGTAGTGCCACATATGGTATTTAACATGGTACATTTTTTGAAATATAAAGAAGCTGTATTGCAGGATTTTTTTATTGGTATGATAGACTGTTTTGTGCCTTGTAAATATAATCAAATCAAGTACGCTTTTCAAACCCTTCAGAACTTTTTTGGAATCAAAAAAATTGCTCATTACTTACAAGCTAGCCCAATAGTAAAAAGAATATAGTTTAAAATAATATTTTATATATTCTGGAACTGTTTTAACGCATATATTATAAAAATAAAAGATCCCCTGAGTTATCCCTTCAAGGAAAACTGAACCTCAGTAGTTTTATTTGAAATAATTTTTTTTGAGGAGCAGGGCTGTGGAGTCGGAGTTGGAGTCGCAACATTTTTAGTGGAGTCAGAGATGCTAAACAAAATCACAACTCTGCAAAAAAGTAAACTTTACTTTGTGATGATCTTTTTCTAATAATTGTAACTTTATAACATTTTGACATCCATGTAAACATCTATAGTAATGATATAAAAATTTCAATAAATCATAATGTATGTTTTTTTATTTTCACTTCAATGTAGAATTAAAAATTAAAGAAAATTTAAAGAGATATAAAAAAAAAAGTCCAAAATAATAAAATTTAATTTATAAAAATTAAATTAACGGTCTAGAATAGCCCCTGATATATATATATATATATATATATATATATATATATATATATATATATATATGCATATAAATATAATACTAACAAATGAAATAATAATTACAATAATATTTACTTATGATTTGTCTATTTAATCTTATTGCGTCTATTTAAAAACTTAAACGAGATCAGATTTTAGATGATAAAATCAGATGGATCTCAGATGCTATATCATATGTAACATAAATATAAATAAATAAAAACTATTACTTTTAAACATATAAAGATATGTTGATAATAATGAAGATACATCAATAACTTGAAAAAAAATAAATAGGAAAGTTTTGTTATTACTAAATATAGTTAATATAATTGATCGTGTATAATATAACATTTTGAATTATCTTTAATTAATAACTTTTCCAATTATATGTAATTATACAACACCTAAAATATTCCTAATACAATTTAAAAACAATGAATATAATTGAAAATTTAACAAATATTCAACATATTGAAGCTATATTATACTTTAGATGTAGTAAAGTTATAAATATTTATAAAAACTATTAATTTACATTATAAGTTAATGCATATTAACTTATATAAATAGATGCAATTGTAGTGTAATTACTATTATTATTTATAATGTTATTATTATTATAAATAGTTTTAAAACAGATCTTTTTTTTTTAAAACAAATTGTTAAAGATCTGTTAGGTTAATCTTTCAGAAATATATATAGTTGATTTAAAAACATTAAAATGTTTATTTTATTCATGTTAAAAAATTTTGCAATTTATTTATATATAGCAATTATATATTATTGTTATTATTATTAATTTATTTCAGATTCACAAAATAGACATAAAACAAGTACAAATAAAGACAAAATACTATTAAAAAACAGTTAAAAACAACATTAACAGCTCTTTACACAAATTTTGTAATACATACTTAAGCTGTAAACTAAGAGTTTGAATTGTTCAAAAGTATTCAATACAGATAAACCAAGTTCAAAGAACATAATAGTAATGCCATCTATTACTATTATAAAGATGAAAAAAGTTATTTGTTGTTTGTTTATATCTTATCTTTAAATAAAAGTAATTTCCTTAAATTTCAGATCAATATTTTTATTATTGTTAATCAAATCAATCATATATTAGTCATAACAATATTGATGAAGTTGGAACCTGTCTAAACTGAGAAGAGTGAAATCATGAATGTTAGACATAATTGAAAAAAATAAACAGCATGAAATTCAGTGATAACTAGTTTAAAAAATGTAAATATTTTAAAAGTAGATTTGTGAATTATTTGTACAAATTTAAACAGATATGAGTTGTACATTACATATAATCAACTAACTAGCTCAGACAATGAATAACTCTAATATTGTCTGAGATTCATTTTATTCATTGAAATTTCTATTATTACTTACTTCAACTATATCTTCATCGTCTAATATCTCTAAAATTTTTAAAGGTGCATTTGTTGACTGTGTTGTTTTTGCTTCTAAACTACTGGAATTAGCTGAATTAGTATTATTATGTTGTAAACCAGACTCGTCACTAACTTTGTTTGATTTATAATAAGATATAGATGGCGATTTATTTACAGTACTAGTCCTTTTATCTGAAAACAAATTTTCGCCAACATTTGATTTCAGTTCTGATAATATTACAAAAAGTATTACAAAAAGTACAATGAATATAACATTAAAAATTCCTTGAACTATCAGTAATGAATTATTACGTCTGCATTTTACACAACATTCTGTTAAAACCACTTCCGTCGTTTTTGTCGTCGTCGTGGTTTGTATTTTTCCAGGTGTTCTATATGAATGTTCTGGAACTGAGCTTTCCTTGCAACTATTTGCTCTCGTAAAAAAAACCATGATTTTGTTATTTGTAGTCGTTTTATCATACATATACGGGAAAATATCAACGAGAAGATAATAATTAAGTAAAAAAAAACGCATGAAAATTAATCTGTGACACAATTTTGTTCATTTTTTTAGCTTATTATATTGTTAAAAAATGATACGGACTTTTTTTATTACTTGAAAACGCTATCGGCTATTATATTATCAAATCCGCCATGAATTAATACTCGAAATTTAGTTGTAAATAGTTTACCGTCGATGCGGCCCGGTCTAGTTGACAATAATAAAAGATAACAAAAGATCCAATGAAATAGCGATTTGATTGTTTTATGAATTAACTATTATTTTGTTAGTGTTATGCTCATCTCCTATGTTTACGTCACAGACCCAGAGTAAACGAGAATGTTTTCAAGAAAAACTGAATACAGTATAGAAGATATTTGATCGCTTTTAGACATAAAATATGACCATGTTTTTGTTTATTTTTACCTTTTTTTTCTCTTAAAAAGATCGTATAAAAAAGATTTATATCCTAAAATATAATGGTTAATAAAAAAGCGAATTTTTTTCTTTTGTAAAAAATAATTGGTAAAAAGCAAATTTTAGCATCAACTTTGCGTTACTTCAGAGTATTGGCTCCTCCCCTACACATTAATTTAAACCAAATATTATTTTATTTCTCTCTTAAACAAGGTTGCATAAATTTAAAGAAAAAAGCACAACGAAAGAGGAACTTGCGTAAAATGATTGCAAGAACTACGACACTGGAACCTCAAATCAAATTTAAATCAAAATAAAAAGGTTAATTAGTCTAATTTGAAATACTTAAAGTATTTAGCGAAGTGAGACAAAGGATTAAATAATTGATAGTATCTTCTAAATTAAAAAACAAAGATTAGACAGTTGGAGTATTTTTGCGTAAAAAAAGTAAAAAAATAAAATAAAGTAAAATTAAAAATCTCACAGGCCTCAAAAAGTAAAAAAGACCGCTGACATTGCCTGAGTTTATAAATTTAATAATTTGTTATTATTAAAAAGATTAATATAATATAATCCTAAATCATGTAATGAGCACGTGTTAAAAAGTTTATAGTTGATATAGTTGAAAATAGATAAAACTTTCTTTAAGATGAACAGTGCCGCGCCGTGGGTGAGAAGTACCTCTGAATAAATTAAGTTTTAGGCGAATTAAAGAAAAAACGTTAAAATCAACACAAAACAAAAATATAATGTCGGATGAAAAACTTAAAATGTAGCTAAACGGTATTTTCGCTTGTTGACCGAATTTATAATATAAAACCAGTATAGGTTAGAATATTTTGAAATTTAATACTATTTTTTTGTATTAAATTTCAAAATATTCTAACCTATACTGGTTTTATATTATCAATGGCAAATGTGTGTTTTCTTTCTTTAGGTGTTCTTTAAGAAAACAAGCTTTACATACTTTATTCATGCCTCAAAATCAACTACTCTATCTGTTTTATTGAAATAATAGAAACAACTCAATTTCTTGAAGTAATTGTTGTTGCCAAGTGACATCACATAGTGTTGCAACATAAGTTACATTGAGCAAGTGGTCAGTAAAAAAGTTTAAAACAAAATTTTTTATGTTTTTTCATTCTTGAGTTGCATCCATCTTTGTGTTCTCAGCAACAGATTTTACTGCATAACGCGACTTCAAAGATATCTTGTTTTATCTTCACATTTTTGAGTTTTGAGATAAAACAGTTCAAAAAATATAAACTCTAGTTGACGTCATATAAAAACATTTTCATAACTTATGTTTTCTGAGCAATTTTTTTGTAACTTATGTTTCAATACAGTAGAAAAACATTATTCTGAGGTACATAACACTATCAATAACTCTTTTTTTTTTCAAAAAGTAAAGATCAAGATCATTCTTGCGTCGCCATTAGTTAATTTAAAAAAGTTTTATTATAATTGTTAGCAGTCATCGGTTTAGCCATATGCATCAATGAGACAAATCTTGAGAACAGCCTTGTCCACGTGATCTTATAGTATATACAGCCCTTGTATCAATAATAAAACTTTTTTTTTCTAGAAAATTGATAAGAAAGTTCTTTTGAATAGTTACAAATACAGCAGGTAAAGTAGCGAAAAGAAACTTTTGCTCTTGTTTTCATTTTCAGAATAAAACTATAATGACAAGCATTCTAAAACAACAGAGTTAATTATTTTTCAATTCAATTGAGCGATATCCTCTAATTAAATGACCAGAACAGAGTTAATTATTTTTTAATTCAATTGAGATATCATATAACTAAACAACTCAATAAATTGGGTCTTGATGATGAAGTTTTTTATATTTTTTAGCCGAAGCGCTAGCTTTATCAGACCCAATTTATAGAATATTAAAAGTTCTCATATTATTTACAATTATATCTTCAGCCCTTGTAGTAATATTTATGTTCACATCTACAAAACTTGATTGCATGCTTACATTGCTATCATTTACATCAATATTAAAACTATTTACAACTAGTTTCTTTGTTCCATAAAACTTTTGTTTCTTTTTAAGTTTTTTTATTTAAACTCTGCAAGCTTTAGCCATTTTAGAAGTTTAATAATGGGCAATCCAGTGATTTCTTGTATTCTAAAATTGTTTTAAACAACGGAAAACTTTTCGAAATATAGTTTTTCAGTGTATCAATTTGGAGAAATTAGATTTTAGGAAGCTTTTTTTAGTAACTGTGAAAAATTTTAGTGATTGTAAAACAAGCTAAAAATACAAGAGCCCAATTAGACCTAGTATATTAATGATCTGTAACAAAATTTCAAATCTAATTTTGATAATCTCTGAAAAATGTTTCACCAAATAGCTTTCAAGAGTGCTTAAAAATTATTAACGGTTTAGTACAAGTTAAATAGTGTACATCTACGTCAAAAATTATAATTAAGCCTGAAAAGTTTATGGAACAATCTGTATGCAGAAAAAATCCCATTCAATTCAAAAAGGAATTTTTAATAGCCACTGTATCGAATTGTCATCCTCTATATATCGCGCTATCTTCATCAGTAAAAGTATTCAAAAACGATTAGATAAATGTATTAAAAGCGAACATAAATAGAGTATGTTTCTTACACACTCTTTTTTAACATAATAAACATTAAATATTTTTTTTTTTAAAAAAATTACAAAAATTTTATTATAAATTAAACTTTTGGCAAATTAATTAAGAGATTTTTTTTCTAATTTTTTTACTTCTTTTTTTATATGAAGACTTTTATAAATGATCAATATATACTTTTACAAAAATTTTTAAATTGTGACTAAGCCGTTTTTTCCCGTGTACATTTTTTGTACACGGGGAAAAACGGTTTTCAACCTTAATAAAAATTTTATTGTATGGTAATTTTAAATATATTCTAATATTTGTTTTAATATATTTTAATATTTAAGTTAACTAGTTGCTTTACAAAAGATTATTTTTCAGTTGCAAATAAACTTTAAGCGAAATAAACTTACTTTTGCAAAATATTCTTAAATTATCTGTTAAGAAAATTTGAGTTTGAGGTTAAAGTTAACATTAGGTGTAAGTTTAAAGGGTTTTTTTTATTTAATTTACTTCCTAAAAGCAACCATTATTGAAGTTGGTAATTACCAGAAAATAAAGGATATTGTTAGACCAAGAAAGGAAAAGACTTAAAAAACTATAAATTGCTTGAAACAATTTTTACAGAGAACATCATATACGCAATTACATGCATATTTAAAAAAAATTCAAATATATATAGAAAACCGGAGTCTTCTCTTCCTTTGCGGATTAATTTTATCTAACGGTAATAAAGAATTTTGTACCGGTAAGTTTCTCTATTGAATATTTAAGCATGTTTATTTATTATACCATTTTGTTTTTTATAACAATGAATAACAAAGGTTAATTATTGTTATAATAAAATTTATTTGTTGCATAAAATTTGTATAGCTACCTCTCTAATAACATTAAATTCATTAATCTTTGAGGAATGAATTTTACCAGAAAAAACTATTATGCAAAAATATTTTTTTATTTTCTTGGTTTTTAAATATTTTAATAAATCATTAAGTTGAAAATATATAGGTATAATGTAGAAGTTTGATTTTTATCTTAACCAATAAAAAGCTTTATTAAAAACATGCTTTTTTTTAAACTCTGAAACTCCCTCTCTTAAAATAACAAAATTGAAAAAAATTTTTAAACAATCTTTTTTTAATTAGGAACTACTAAACATAATTCTGTAAAAAAATATTTAAAATTTTGTTTAAATCTTTATAAAAATGTAAGTAAAATCCTGTTACTGCTTAGTGACGCATGTGTGGGTGGGGGAGATCTTTTATTTCGTTTTTTCTAAAAAGCTGTCAGCAGTTTTTATGGATTCGTTCCCCACCCACGTACCCACCCCTTATTTTATTCCTAGAATTCAGTTTTATAGCTGGCTGCATTATAAGTCAGAAAATGTTTTTTTCATAATGATAAGCATAAAAAAATTGGCTAAAAACATCATTTTAAGAATGCTCCTAAATATTAACTTTCAACTTTTTCTTTACACACACGCACACACACATACTCACATATATATATATATATATTTTATATATATATATATATATATATATATATATATATATATATATATATATATATATATATATATATATATATATATATATATATATATATATATATATATATATATATATATATATATATACATATATATATATATATATATATATATATATATATATAACTTGAGAATAGTTTTAATGACAAGAATTAAAAATAACTATTTACATGACCGGGACAAAAAAAGACAATAATAGTCTTATTACTAAGCCCCGTAATTTAATTTACATTACATAGCTTATAAAACTGTCATTTTATGAGATAAAATACATTTTCTTTTTAATACCGTTAAAATTTACTCGAAAAAAAAAGTATTAGCAAAGTTTAAAACCTTAAAATATGCATAAAGTAATAGAGCTTTTAGAAAATGTTTTAAAAAGAGTTCTTTATATTAATAATTCCTAATAATTCTTGTACTAATAGTAATAATACAATTAATAATAATATAAATAATAATAATATTAACAATAATAATATAAATAACAATAATAACAGAAATAAATTAACTAAAAGTATATTAATTAAAATAAATAATCAAACATTTAAAAGCTTCAATAAGAATTCTTTTCATGGCTCTATGTTCAAAAATAACATAAATAAAAAAAAAATCAAGAAT